TTTTTGGAGGGGGGGGGGGAGGTGGTTGGTTTTGGCTCTTCATCTTTGATTTGGAGTTTTTTTTTTTTCAAATTTTGGGCATGGAAAATCGAAATTCCAGTTTTGGCCATAGAAAATAAAATTGCTTAATATCTCGAAGCCCCTGCATATCTTTTTATTTTTATACCCTCCACCATAGTCTGGAGGGTATATTAAGTTTGTCATTCCGTTTGTAACACCTCGAAATATTCATTTTTTACCCCCACAAAGTATATATGTATATATTTTCGATCAGCATAAAATTCTATGTCGATTTAGCGATGTCCGTCCGTCTGTCCGGCTATCCGTCTGCCTGGAAATCACTCTAGCTTCCGAACGAAATGAAGTAGGTTGATAAAATTTTACTCAAATGTGTATAATGCCTCCAGGACTTTTGGTATTGAAAGTGGGCCATGTAGAACCACGTCTTCGTACACCCCCCATATAACGGAACCTCTTGATATCCGGTATTTTGATGATTTTAGCGACATTATATGCCGGAATTGTTTCAAAATTGGTATTTGAAGTTCGTAATGGATACTACAGTCTATGACAGAAAATGAGCCATGTAGGTTCACGTCTTCGTATAGCCCCCATATAACGGTACCTCCCCATATTCGGTATTTTGATAATTTTAGCGAAATTATTTACCGGAATTGTTCCAAATTGGAAATTTGAAATTCGTAATGAATACTACAGCCTACGACAGAAAATTGTCTAAGCTGGTCCACGTCTTCATATAGCCCCCATATAACGGCACCTCTCAATATTCGGTATTTTGATGATTTTAGCCACATTATTTACCGGAATTGTTTCAAATTTGGTATTTGAAGTTCGTAATATTTACTACATCCTATGCCAGAAAATTGTCTGTGCAGGTCCACGTCTTCGTATAGCCCCCATATAACGGAACCTCCCGATATTCGGTTTTTTGATGATTTTAGCGACATTATTTACCGGAATTGTCTCAATTTTGGTATTTGAAGTTCGTAATGAATACTAAAGCCTACGACAGAAAATTGTCTGTGCAGGTCCACGTCTTCGTATAGCCTCCATATAAGGGTACCTCCCGATATTGGGTATTTTGATGATTTTAGCGACACTATTGACCGGAATTGTTTCAAATTTTGTATTTGAAGTTCGTAATGGATACTACAGCCTAAGGTAGAAAATTGTTTGTGCAGGTCCACCCCTATGGTGCCTCCCTATATTCGGTATTTTGATGATTTTGGCTTCATATTCGCCGATTTTTTTTTTTTCAAAATTCGCATTTGAATATTTTAATGGCTTATGACAAACATTGCCTATGCAGGTCCACGTCGTCGTATAGAACCTAATATGACGGCTACATTTGATATTTTCAAGATTTTAACAGAATTTTTAATGGATTTTATAATTATTTTTTTTTTTGAAAATTGCCAAATTTCTACCAAATGGCGGAGGGTACTCAAAGTTCGGCCCGGCCGTACTTACAGCTTTTTTCTTGTTTTTTTTTATTTTTTTATTATTTTTAATTTTTTTTTTCTTTTTTTTTTATTTTTTTATTTTTTTTTTTTTTTGGTGATTGGCTCATTTTTTACTGGAAAAGCGCTGAGCATCTTTGCCCAAAATTGGCGGTGGCATAACTTCACACGCGTTCATTCACTTCCAAATGCGACAAGCGAGCGAGTCTCTTAGCCAACCAGTTTGGTGGCAGAAAATCGCTGCCTCTGTTGTTGTTGTTGCCACTGATGATATGACCAAATTATAGATATTTTCGCTTTTTTTATAGGCAGACAGGAACTGAAAATGCTTCGTATGCTTCGTTTTTTTTTTGGTGTGGCAAGTTTGTGAGGAAAGTCGGTTCGTTGTTGACTGCAGTTTTTATGAAGTGCTGCCTACCTACTCCGCCATCTCCTCCTTGCCACATAATTGGCTGCATTATTATTAAATTAAGATGAGGCAATTTCACTTTTTCCCGGTAATCATGTCATAACGAGGAGGGGTGTAGGCTCCTTATAAGCAATAATTACGATTTCGTAATTATTTTATTACAATATCAATTAATTTTGTTGGGAAAATAATACGGGACAAAATAATACAAAAAAAAAAATAAAATAAAAAATAAAAAAAATATTGAAAAAATAAATACAAAAATAATAAAAATAAAATATATAAAAAATAATTGAAAAAAAATTATAAAAATCAAGCCTTTTGATTTTAGAAAAAAAAAATAAAATAAAATTCAGGTTGTCTTGAAAAAATGGTCCTTTAATCCAGGTTCTTGAAAATATATGTTTATGCCCCCACTTTAGAATGGATGTTTTTTTCCTTTTCTTTGAGAATTTTTTTTTACCCTACACCACATAGTGGCAAGGGTATTATCCCTTTGTGCATTAGTTTGGAACAGGGAGAATGAAGCGAGATAGACCCATAGTTACTTTTGAGGATCTTCATAGAATCACTTTTTGAGTCGATTTATGCCTGTCAGTCCGTCCGTCCATGTATTCTTGTAAAAAAATGCAGGTCGCATTTATTATCCGATCGAGATAAAATTTTGCAAACAAAGTTTGTTTGGACCAAGGATGAAACCTATTAAAAATTGGTGATAATCGGATCAGATTTAAATATAGCTCCCAAATATTCTCAACCGCATTCGGTTGGATATATCTCCCATATATATCCTTAATCCGATTTCAGGTTTATTTTGCAAATTATGGAAAATACAGGGTGAGATTATAAAACTGGCTGCTTCAGACTGCTCTCATTTTTAAGCCCCATCGTCCGACAGCTGTTAAAATTATTCCAGGGACAGCTCATTATATTGTTTACAAGCGTTCGAAAGCATTTTGGTGAGAATTTTTGCAGAAAAAAAGTTATTCGTGTTCGGAATTCAAGTGTGATTGTGTGATTTCTTTGGATATTTGGCTGGAAAACCACAAGTGGCTATGGTTGGAGCACTCCAGCATTTAAATGGGAATAAATCTTTTGTGTCTCGTACCATCGCTCCTTACCGATTACGCTACGCTACCAGTAGCCCGACGAAGTCAAGGAAGTGAACAGAAGAAACATCAGCAGAAATGGTTCGAAAAGTAAAGAAGCGACTTGATCGAAAACCAAGTCGCAGTGGCCGAAAAATGGCTCGTGAGCTCGACATATCGCAATATCCCATTCCGCAAATATTGAAAAATAAGCTCGGGGCAAAACCATTGAAATTCCAAAAAATGCAAAAACTTACAGCGCAACAGAAAGAAAATAGACTCAAAAGATCTAAGGGTTGCTTCGCTTGGCCGAAAGTGGTGAACTGCCGAATTTGGTTTGGTGGTCTCCGATGAGAAAACATTCGAAAATGGATTCAGAAGAGCTAAAGTGTTGCTTCGCCTTGGCCGACAGTGGTGAACTGATGAATTTGGTTTTTTCTCTCTCCGATGAGAAAATATTCGTTGTCCAGCCGAACAAGGTAAACAAACAAAATGATCGATTTTACTTGCCAAAGAGGTCAGCTGAAAATGTGCACCCTGGGCTGGCCAGCCACCATCACTAAAGCGGCGGCCATGGTGATGGGCCGCCATAACAGCCAATTGTCGCTCTCCGCTCGTATTAATCGGCCATGGCATTCGAATAAATGCCGAATATTATCACAAAAATATTCCTGGAGGGCCTTGGGCACGCAAACATTTTGGCCGCAGACCTTGAACTCAGGACCAACAGGATTCAGCACCATCGTACTCAGCACGCACCACCCAAGAATGTTTACAAAATGAGGTTTCTCGCTTCATTTCCAGCGCACAATGGCCACCAAAATCTCCGGATACCAATCCGTTGGACTATTGTGTCTGAAGTTTTTTTGGGAAAGCAAGGTTGGCACTAAAAAATATCAAAGTGCCGATCACCTCAAGCAAGCTTTTCGCCGAAAATGGGCCAAAATACCGCAGAGCAACATTCGGGCAGCGTGTGACGGTTGTATTGGCCGTTTGAAGGCCATAATTCGTGCCAAAGGTGACCAATTCGAACAAATCTAAACTTATTTTAAAATTTGAATCTGTTTCCGACATTTTTTGCTTTCACTCAATAAAATTAAAAAAATTAAAAATCATCGCGTTTTTTATCTCACCCTGTATATGAAGGTACTAGGTGTGTGAACTGTACTATATTTGGTATGATTTTATAATGGGTGAACAGATAGTGCTTGAAATGTGAAATTTGGTATTAGAGTAGCTTTTCAAGTGTAGCTTAGACATATGGAGGTGGTTTTGATAATGTGTACTATAATTGTACGAAAAGTACTAAATGACACTAAATTGGGTATTTGGGTGAAGGGATAGAGCTGGAATCTCGAAATTTGGTATTGAGGTCTATACTGGTATTTGAAATTGAGATATGACGGTGGTTTTGGAAATGAGTACTAACATGTGTACGAAAAATACTAAATAGTACTATATTTGGTACGATTTGGTATTAGGTGAATAGATATTGGGTGATAGATGAAATCTGAAATTTGGTCAATCAGGTCGCTGTTTATGTATAGCGAATTTAGATATGGTGGTGGTTTTGAAATTGTATAGTACACATTTGTAAAAAAAGTACTAAATGGTACTAAATTTGGTATTAGGCGAAGGGATAGGGCTGGAATCCCGAAATTTAATGTTGAGGTCTCTGTTGGTATCTGCGATTGAGAATTGGCGGTGGTTTTGGAAATGCGCCCTCTTTTTGTACGAAAAGTACTAATTGGTACTATGTTTGGCATTGGGTGAAGGGATAGAGCTGGAATACCGAAATAGAAGTATACATATTACTGTCGATTTCTAGGGTTTATATATGGAGGCGATAAAATAGTATTGAATGTGTTTTCGTGGTGGATGTGTTTTCGTTGTGCAATGCTTCTTGCTAATATCCTCCTCGGTAAACGTCAAAATAAAATATTTTCATGACTATTTGGTGTAAAAGGCAAACATTTTCCCATTCTTTCAGAAAAAGCAAAATATAATTTTTTATTCTCTTACCTTATACACCCCATCGACCATTTTTGTTATTTCCTCGGACTCCATGTTGCTGCGGTTTCGTTGTTACGTTGATTATTTGAGCTGATAGTTATGATGTTTCGGATGCTTAATATTTCAACTTGCTCTGCAAAGTCAAGCGGAGGTGGATTTTAAGTTTTAACTTTTTTTTGTTCTAAATTTTCATGGAAAACTTTTTTTGGATTTTTTTTAACTTTATTTCGGCAGATTTTCTTTTTAATTTATATTTATAGTTTTATTTTTTTTTTCTCTAAAATTTAATGGAAAACTTTTTTTTTGTTTTTAATTAGATTTCGGTTGATAGTAACGTTGCTGTTGATGTAAATTGTTCTGCAAAGTCAAGTGTGGACAGATTATAAGTTTATTTTTATTTTAAATTTTTATGGATTTTTTTTATTACATTTTTTATTTTTTTATTATTTTGTAAAATGTGGTTTTTATTTTTATAAATTATTTTTTCTTTAATTTTTTTAATATTTTATAATTTTGCGATTATGGTGTTTTTTTTTTTAATTTTTGAAATAAGAGTTTTTTTAGTTATTAGTTAATGCGAGTTTTTTTTAGATTTTTTTTTATTTTTATTAATTTTAAAAATTTTATATATATCTGTATGGAAAATTTATATATTTTGGTGTATATTTTAATGTTACTGTAATTTTTTAATATATACTTTTTTGAAAATTTTTGAAAAAAAAATTATAATTTTATTTTTTTTTATTTTTAAAAAATTTTATTTAAAAATTTTTATTAAATTTTAACAATTTTATATATATTTTTTATACCCTCCACCATAGTATGGAGGTTATATTAAGTTTGTCATTCCGTTTGTAATACCTCGAACTATACATTTGAGACCCCACAAAGTATATATTCTTGGTCAGCATAAAATTCTATGTCGATTTAGCGACGTCAGTCCGTCAGCCCGTCCATCTGTTCGTCTGTAAAAATCACTGTAGCTTCCAAACGAAATGAAGTAGATTGATAAAATTTTTCTCAAAATGGCCATGTAGGTCCACGTATTGGTAAAGCCCCCATATAATTGGACCTCTCTATTTTCGGTATTTTCACGATTTTAGCGACATTATTTATTGCAATTATTTCCAATTTCGTATTTGAAGTTTGTAATAGATACTACAGCCTAAAACAGAAAATTGTCTGTGCAGCTCCATGTTTTGGTATAGCTTTCATACAACGGTACCTCCCGATATTCTGTATTTTGATGATTTTAGCGACGTTATTCAACGGAATTGTATAAAACTTGGTATTTGAAGTTCGTAGTGGATACTACAGCCTGAGACAGAAAATTGTCTATACAGGTCCACGTCTTCGTATAGCCCCCATATAACGGTTCCCTCCGATATTTGGTATTTTGATGCTTTTATCGACATTATTTACCGGAATTGTTTCAAATTTCAATTATATGCAGGTCCACGTCTTCCTATACCCCCCATGTAACTGTACCTCCCGATATTCGATATTTTCACGATTTCAGCGACATTATTTACTGGAAATGTTTTAAATTTTGTATTTGTAATTCGTAAAGGATGCTTCAGCCTATGACAGGATATTGTCTGTACAGGTCCACGTCTTCGTATAGCCCCCATATAACTTTACCTCCCGATATTCGGTATTTTGATGATTTCAGCGACATTATTCATCGGAAATGTTTCAAATTTGGTATTTGTAATTCGTAATGGATACTACAGCCTATGAAAAAATTGCGTAAGCAGGTCAAGTTTTTTTTTTTTTTTTTTGATATCTTTCAAGTTTCTTCCAAAATGGTGGAGGGTATTAAAAGTTCGGCCTGGCATAGCTTCTTTTTTATTTATTTTATTTTTATTTTATATATTCTTTGTTGGAAACATTCCGAAAATTTTTATAATTTAGTGTTTTTTTTTTAATTTTTTAATTATATTTTAGGATTTTGAGACTTTTTTATATTTTATATAACTTAAAAAAATTACATATTTTTGTTTTTATTTTGCTATTAATTGTTGTTATTATTTTATTAAATTTGTTTTCATTTATTTTTTTATTTTTATTATTTTTTTTTTGATTTTTTTTTTAAATTTGAATACTTTTTTTTTGATTTTTTGCGCTGTTTTGTTTTTATTTTTTCATTGACCATTTTTTTTTTTGTTTTAAACGTTTCTATATGTTTTTTTTTTGAAAAGTTTTGTAATTTTTTTTTTACCTTTTTTATTTATTAAAATTTAAAAATTTTATATATATACTTTTTTGGATTTTTTTCGCTGTTTGGTCTTTTTATATTTTTTTATTAACTGTTTATTTTATTAACTGTTTATTTTTATTAACTGTTTCATTTTTGTATTCTATCATTAATTGTGTTTTTATTTTTTTTTATTATTATCTTATATTTTTTTTATTTGTTAATTTTTTTTTGCAATAAAATATTAAAAAAGAAAATAAAACACTTAATAAATTATAGCCAAAAAATCACTGAGAAAAAAAGCAAATCCACTTGAAATATTTTTTTTTTCAAATTCACTTTCAATGACTCCTTCAACGAACCAACCAAAAAAAAAATCTCCTCAAATAGGAAGCCGAAAAAGTCGTGATAATTTCACTTTCTTTCAAAAAAATAAAAAAAAAACATTAACGAAAAAATACGTTTTTTTTACATGGCCGAATTTAAAGTTTGTGTCTTAAGTCTTTCGTTTTCATTTCAATACTACAACGTGGGCCAAACAAGCGGCGGCCAACAAGCAACCAACCAACCAAACAATCAACCATCCAAGCAGCCACAATACTCATCACAACTCCATAACGAAACCAGTCTCATTTCAACTTGTTGTCATTGTTTTTGTTGTTATTGTTGTGAAAAAAGGCTTCCTGGTGTTGTTGTTGTTATAATTTCATTTCATTCATGGATTTTCTTGTAAATGTTGCATTTAACATTGACTGACTGTCGGATGCCGTTTGACGATGGCGTTAATGGCCAATGTTAAGAAAGGTTAGCCTGTTGAAAGTTGATTTGATACAGAATCTCTTGCAGCCAGAGAAATGCTGGCAGAGAGAGGGAGAGAGAGTGAGAGGGAAGTGGGAGAGGAGAGTTGGTGTAACCTGTTTGGCTCTGCCATAGTATTTTGTAATCCATTTATTTTCTTTTTGACCTAGGCTATCATTTTTCATTCTCTCATTTCTCTTCTTTCTTTTGCCTCTCTTTGTGACTTTCTTTTTGAGAGTGATTTAATTTCACGCAACTGATATTTTTGTTCCCTTGTCGTTTATGTTTTTGCTGGCCCTTCAAATGGCCCACTCTAGGCTTTTGGAAATCTTTTAGACGCTTGGTTGACTTCTATGCGAGTGTGTTTGGAGTTTTTTCTCCACCATTTAACTCCAGCTGGGCTTGACAAGTAGCTGCCTAGGTTTTTTGTTGTTTAATCAATGACTGGATCGCAAAACGGTTTCCACCTCTTGCCTGCTCTTTTCATTTTTTGTCATAATATTCATAATAATTGGATCGGCATGCTTTTCTTTCACTTCCACCAGGCCAACAACAACAATTTTATGTTTTTTTGTTGCTATCTAACACGCAACAGAAACCTGGCTTTGTCACTTGGAATGTGTCACGTTTCTTGTGGTGTTTTTTTTCCGATTTTAATATATTTTTTTCCAACATTTGCCTTTCATCCATTCAGATAATGTTGCTCGAAAAGCATTTCCCGCTTTACGCCTGAGTTCAAGTTTAGGTTGTCAGCCAGCCAGCCTTACTTCTTTTATGGTGTTACGTTTTCTTGCTGCCTATTTTTTTTTCGTCAAATTGTCTTTAATTATCTGTAATTAAAATAAGAGCAAAACAAGACGTGGTTAGTTTTATGAAAAAAAAAAAAAAAAAAAAAAAAAAAAAAAACATAAAATGTTTTACATTTGAAAATGGTTTTTAAGATAAGTAAAACATGTAAATTTTTGTCGTTAATGTCAGATGAACGTGCGATGAAGATATGACAACAATTTTGTGTTTTGGTAAAAAAAAACATTAACGAAAAATGTTTAAATTTGAAAATGAAAAAAAAAATCGAAATTAAAAAAAAGTGTTAAAAAAATAAAGATACACGATTTTGAAGCTGCGATAAGGCGTTGTCTGTATTCGGAGCAAGTTTAAGCTGGAGTTTTTCAAAATCTTCAAAAATCCACGCCTAATGGTTCCCAGGAAAAATATTTTTTAAAAAATCCACGCCTAATGGTTCCCAGGAAAAATATTTTTTAAAAAATCCACGCCTAATGGTTCCCTGGAAAAATATTTTTTAAAAAATCCACGCCTCATGGTTCCCTGGAAAAATATTTTTTAAAAAATCCACGCCTAATGGTTCCCTGGAAAAATATTTTTTAAAAAATCCACGCCTAATGGTTCCCTGGAAAATATTTTTTAAAAAATCCACGCCTAATGGCTCCCAGGAAAAATATTTTTTAAAAAATCCACGCCTAATGGTTCCCTGGAAAAATATTTTTTAAAAAATCCACGCCTAATGGTTCCCTGGAAAAATATTTTTTAAAAAATCCACGCCTAATGGTTCCCTGGAAAAATATTTTTTAAAAAATCCACGCCTAATGGTTCCCTGGAAAAATATTTTTTAAAAAATCCACGCCTAATGGTTCCCAGGAAAATATTTTTTAAAAAATCCACGCCTAATGGTTCCCAGGAAAAATATTTTTTAAAAAATCCACGCCTAATGGTTCCCAGGAAAAATATTTTTAAAAAATCCACGCCTAATGGTTCCCAGGAAAAATATTTTTTAAAAAATCCACGCCTAATGGTTCCCAGGAAAAATATTTTTAAAAAATCCACGCCTAATGGTTCCCAGGAAAAATATTTTTTAAAAAATCCACGCCTAATGGTTCCCAGGAAAAATATTTTTTAAAAAATCCACGCCTAATGGTTCCCAGGAAAAATATTTTTAAAAAATCCACGCCTAATGGTTCCCAGGAAAAATATTTTTTAAAAATCCACGCCTAATGGTTCCCAGGAAAAATATTTTTAAAAAATCCACGCCTAATGGTTCCCAGGAAAAATATTTTTTAAAAAATCCACGCCTAATGGTTCCCAGGAAAAATATTTTTTAAAAAATCCACGCCTAATGGTTCCCAGGAAAAATATTTTTTAAAAAATCCACGCCTAATGGTTCCCAGGAAAAATATTTTTAAAAAAATCCACGCCTAATGGTTCCCAGGAAAAATATTTTTTAAAAAATCCACGCCTAATGGTTCCCAGGAAAAATATTTTTAAAAAATCCACGCCTAATGGTTCCCAGGAAAAATATTTTTTAAAAAAATCCACGCCTAATGGTTCCCAGGAAAAATATTTTTAAAAAATCCACGCCTAATGGTTCCCAGGAAAAATATTTTTTAAAAAATCCACGCCTAATGGTTCCCAGGAAAATATTTTTTAAAAAAATCCACGCCTAATGGTTCCCAGGAAAAATATTTTTTAAAAAATCCACGCCTAATGGTTCCCAGGAAAAATATTTTTAAAAAATCCACGCCTAATGGTTCCCAGGAAAAATATTTTTTAAAAAATCCACGCCTAATGGTTCCCAGGAAAAATATTTTTTAAAAAATCCACGCCTAATGGTTCCCAGGAAAAATATTTTTTAAAAAATCCACGCCTAATGGTTCCCAGGAAAAATATTTTTTAAAAAATCCACGCCTAATGGTTCCCAGGAAAAATAATTTTTAAAAAATCCACGCCTAATGGTTCCCAGGAAAAATATTTTTTAAAAAATCCACGCCTAATGGTTCCCAGGAAAAATATTTTTTAAAAAATCCACGCCTAATGGTTCCCAGGAAAAATATTTTTTAAAAAATCCACGCCTAATGGTTCCCAGGAAAAATATTTTTAAAAAATCCACGCCTAATGGTTCCCAGGAAAAATATTTTTTAAAAAATCCACGCCTAATGGTTCCCAGGAAAAATATTTTTTAAAAAATCCACGCCTAATGGTTCCCAGGAAAAATATTTTTTAAAAAATCCACGCCTAATGGTTCCCAGGAAAAATATTTTTAAAAAATCCACGCCTAATGGTTCCCAGGAAAAATATTTTTAAAAAATCCACGCCTAATGGTTCCCAGGAAAAATATTTTTTAAAAAATCCACGCCTAATGGTTCCCAGGAAAAATATTTTTAAAAAATCCACGCCTAATGGTTCCCAGGAAAAATATTTTTTAAAAAATCCACGCCTAATGGTTCCCAGGAAAAATATTTTTTAAAAAATCCACGCCTAATGGTTCCCAGGAAAATATTTTTTAAAAAATCCACGCCTAATGGTTCCCAGGAAAAATATTTTTTAAAAAATCCACGCCTAATGGTTCCCAGGAAAAATATTTTTTAAAAAATCCACGCCTAATGGTTCCCAGGAAAAATATTTTTTAAAAAATCCACGCCTAATGGTTCCCAGGAAAAATATTTTTTAAAAAATCCACTCCTATTGGTTGTCAGGAAAATATTTTTTTAAAAATCCACTCCTATTGGTTGTCAAGAAAAATATTTTTTAAAAAATCCACGCCTAATGGTTCCCAAAAAAATATTTTTTAAAAAATCCACGCCTATTGGTTGTCAAGAAAAATATTTTTTAAAAAATCCACGCCTATTGGTTGTCAAGAAAATATTTTTTAAAAAATCCACGCCTAATGGTTTCTAGGAAAAATATTTTTTAAAAAATCCACGCCTAATGGTTTCTAGGAAAAATATTTTTTAAAAAATCCACGCCTAATGGTTTCTAGGAAAAATATTTAAAAAAAAAAAAATCCACGCCTATTGGTTGCCAGGAAAAATATTTTTTTAAAAAATCCACGACTAATGGTTCCTAGGAAAAATAAATTTTTAAAAAATCCACGCCTATTGGTTGCCAGGAAAAATATTTTTTTAAAAAATCCACGACTAATGGTTCCTAGGAAAAATAAATTTTTAAAAAATCCACGCCTATTGGTTACCAGGAAAAATATTTTTTTAAAAAATCCACGACTAATGGTTCCTAGGAAAAATAAATTTTTAAAAAATCCACGCCTATTGGTTACCAGGAAAAATATTTTTTAAAAAATCCACGCCTAAAGGTTCCAGGAAAATATTAAAAAAAAAATCCACGCCTATTGTTTGCCAGGAAAAATAAATTTTTAAAAAATCCACGCCTATTGTTTGCCAGGAAAATATTTTTTAAAAAATCGACGCCTATTGTTTGCCAGGAAAAATATTTTTTAAAAATCCACGCCTAATGGTTGCTAGAAAAAATATTTTTTAAAAAATCCAAGCCTAATGGTTGCTAGAAAAAATATTTTTTAAAAAATCCACGCCTCATGTTTTCATGAAAAAATATTTTTTAAAAAATCCACGCCTCATGTTTTCATGAAAAAATATTTTTTAAAAAATCCACGCCTAATGGTTGCCAGGAAAAATAAATTTTTAAAAAATCCACGCCTATTGTTTGCCAGGAAAAATATTTTTTAAAAAATCCACGCCTATTGTTTGCCAGGAAAAATATTTTTTAAAAAATCCACGCCTAATGGTTGCTAGAAAAAATATTTTTTAAAAAATCCACGCCTAATGGTTGCTAGAAAAAATATTTTTTAAAAAATCCACGCCTCATGTTTTCATGAAAAATATTTTTTAAAAATCCACGCCTAATGGTTGCTAGAAAAAATATTTTTTAAAAAATCCACGCCTAATGGTTGCTAGAAAAAATATTTTTTAAAAAATCCACGCCTCATGTTTTCATGAAAAAATATTTTTTAAAAAATCCACGCCTAATGGTTCCCAGGAAAAATATTTTTTAAAAAATCCACGCCTAATGGTTGCTAGGAAAAATACTTTTTTTAAAAAATCCACGCCTAATGGTTGCTAGAAAAAATATTTTTTAAAAAATCCACGCCTAATGGTTGCTAGGAAAAATATTTTTTAAAAAATCCACGCCTAATGGTTGCTAGGAAAAATATTTTTTAAAAAATCCACGCCTAATGGTTCCCAGGAAAAATATTTTTTAAAAAATCCACGCCTAATGGTTCCCAGGAAAAATATTTTTTAAAAAATCCACGCCTAATGGTTGCTAGGAAAAATATTTTTTGAAAAATCCACGCCTAATGGTTGCTAGGAAAAATATTTTTTAAAAAATCCACGCCTAATGGTTGCTAGGAAAAATATTTTTTAAAAAATCCACGCCTAATGGTTGCTAGGAAAAAATTTTTTTAAAAAATCCACCCCTAATGGTTGCTAGGAAAAATATTTTTTAAAAAATCCACGCCTAATGGTTGCTAGGAAAAATATTTTTTAAAAAATCCACGCCTAATGGTTGCTAGGAAAAATATTTTTTAAAAAATCCACGCCTAAAAAATTACTTGAAATAATATTTTTTTAAAAAATCCACGCCTATTAATAACTTGAAAAAATATTTTTTTACAAATTCTACGCCTATTAATTACTTGAAAAAATTTTTTTTTACAAATTCCACGCCTATTAATTACTTGAAAAAATATTTTTTTTTTAAAAATCCACGCCTATTAATTACTTGAAAAAATATTTTTAAAAAAATCGATGCCTAATGGTTCCTAGGAAAATTATTTTTTAAAAAATCCACGCCTAATGAAAAATATATATATTTTATGAAAATATATATATTTTAAAATCCGCACCTCATGTTTCCTGTGAAAAAATATTTTTTTTAAAAAATCCAAGCCGTATGGTGGTTTGATTTTTTTTTAAATCCACTCCAAATGTTTCGCAATCATTGACGTCATAACATCTTTGCTCATCATCCTCCCTGCAGAGGTCATTGTACATTTTTATTTGAT